TTTTGAGACAGAGTCTCCCTCTGTCGCCCAGGCTGGAGCGCAGTGGTGCAATCTCGGCTCACTGCAAGCTCTGCCTCCTGCGTTCACACCATTCTCCTGCCTTAGCCTCCCGAGTAGCTGGGACTACAGGCGCCCACCACCATGCCTGGCGTTATTTTTTTTTGTATTTTTAGTAGAGACGGGATTTCACCATGTTAGCCAGGATGGTCTCAATCTCCTGACTTCGTAATCCGCCGTCTCAGCCTCCCAAAGTGCTGGGATTACAGGCGTGAGCTGCTGTGCCTGGCCTTACTGATTCAACCTCATATTGGATTCAATCTCTTTACTTTTTCTAGGTTTGTTCAGGTTTATTTCTTCCTGAGTCAGTTTTGGTCATTTGTGTTTTTCCAGGAATTTGCTCATTTCATCTAGGTTATCTAATTTGCTGGTATACAGTTGTTCACAGTATTGTCTTATGATGCTTTTTTTCTTTTTTCCTGTAAGGTTCATAATGATGTCGCTGCTTTCATTTCTGATTTTAGTTATTTGCATCTTCACTCTTTCTCAGTCTAGCTAAAGATTTGTCAGTGCTGTTCATCTTTTCAAAATTCTCATTTCAGCTATTGTACTTTTCAGCTCCAGAACTTTGGTTTATTTTTCATAATTTGTCTCTTTGTTGATATTCTGTTTATACACTTATTGTTTACCTGGCTTCCTTTAGTTCTTTGTCAATGGTTTCCTTTAGTTAAGCATATGTAAGACCATTTAAATAAACATTTAAGTAAACTTTCAAACATTTAAATAAAAGTCTTTGTCTAGCAAGTTCAATGTCTAGGCTTCCCCAGGGATGGTTTCTGTCAATTTCTTTTTCCTGTGAATGGGTTGTACTTTTCTTTTTTCTTGGTATGCTATTTTATTTATTTATTTATTTTTGGTTAAAAACTGGGCACTTCGGGCCTGGCATGGTGGCTCATGCCTGTAATCCCAGCACTTTGGGATGCCGAGGCGGGTGGATCACGAGGTCAGGTGTTTGAGACCAGCGTGGCCAACATAATGAAACCCTGTCGCTACTAAAAATACAAAAATTAGCTGGGTGTGAGGTGGGCGCCTATAATCCCAGCAACTCAGGAGGCTGAGGCAGGAGAATTGCTTGAACTTGAGAGGCAGAGGTTGCTGTGAGCAGAGATCGCGCTACTGCACTCCAGCCCTGGCGACAGTTCCAGTCTCCATCTCAATAATAATAATAATAATAATAACCCCCAAAAACTGGGCACTTCAACCTGAAAAAGCTGATAGAAAGAAAAAAGCAAAAACTGGGCATTTTGAATATTATAATGTGGTAACTCTGGAAATCAGATCCTGTTAACGCTTATTAAGGGCTGCAGTATTCTGTTTGTTTAGATCATGCCTTAGTCTTTCTGGCCACCAGCCCCCATCCTGAAGCTATTCAGGGTTCCCCAGCCACCAGTCATCTCATTAGCATACCAACAACACTTATCACACCTAAGATTCCGAAGGTTTTAGGAGCTTGTGCCAGGAACAGGGATAATGACCAAATGTTTATTTTTATTATATCACAACTTCTTAACTCATTTATTGAGTCATTATGCTTCGCATTAGCGCAAATGAAGCCCTTCACATTAGGGGAAATTCAGCCTATCAAATACAACACTGAAAGCTAAATAACAACAACAACAACACCACAACAACAACAACCAATCAGGGATGGGTGCAGTGGCTCACACCTGTAACCTAATCTTAGCACTTTGGGAGGCCGAAGTGGGAGGGTCATTTGAGGTCAGGAGTTTGAGACCACCCTGGTCAACATGGTGAAACCCCATCTCTACTAAAATTACAAAAATTAGCCAGGCGGGGTGGTGCATACCTGTAATTCCAGCTACTTGGGAGGCTGAGGCAGGAGAATCACTTGAACTTGGGAGGCAGAGGCTGCAGCGAGCTGAGATCGTGCCATTGCACTCCAGCCTGGGCGAAAAAGCAAGACCTTGTTTCAAAACAACAAGAACAAACCAGGCTGGAGAGTCATTTCCCAGCAATTCTGTAGCAAGGGCATATATGCATCAGTTAGGGAGTTGGAGTTTGTGACCCTCAGGTGTCCTTCCTTTTCTAAGAATTGATTATTTTTATAATTCTTTATGTTAAGTATAATTAATTTCTCAAATTTATCAAAGATCATTATTTTCTTTTTTCTTTTTTTTTTTTTTTTTGAGACAGAGTCTCGTTCTGTCGCCCAGGCTGGAGTGCAGTGGTGCTCTCTCTGCTCACTGCAAGCTCCACCTCCCGGGGTCATGCCATTCTCCTGCCTCAGCCTCCTGAGTAACTGGGACTACAGGCATACACCACCACACCCAGCTATTTTTTTTTTTTTTTTTTTGTATTTTTAGTAGAGACAGGGTTTCACCACGTTAGCCAGGATGGTCTCGATCTCCTGACCTCATGATCCGCCTGCCTCGGCCTCCCAAAGTGCTGGGATTACAGGCGTGAGCCACCGAGCCCGGGCTGGACCATTATTTTCTTAGCCAAAATGCTGGCCTGCCCCAGTTCCATCTGGGGTTAATCTTCATTTAAACAGCTCTTTAAAACTATTTGGTTTTCCCCATACATCTATGGCCAATTGATTTTTGACAGGAAGCCAAGACAATTTAATAGGAAAAGGACAATCTCTTCAACGAATAGTGCTGGGACAACTAGAAGTCTACATGCAAAACAATGCACTTGGACCCTGACCTCACACCACATACAAAAATTACCTTAAAATGGATCAACAACCTAAATATAAGAGCTAAAACTATAAAACTCTTAGAAGAAAACATAGGAGTAAATCTTCACAACCTTGGATTTGACAATGATATCTTACACAGGACACCAAATGCACAAACAACAAAAGAAAAAACAGTTAAGCTGAACTTCATCAAAATTAAAGTTTTAAGTGCATCAAAGGACATCAGAAAGTGAAAACGACAATTACAGAATGGGAGAGAAATATTTGTGAAGCATATATCTGATAAGGGTCTAGTATCCATAATATATAAAGAACTCTTACAACTCAACAACAAAAAGACAACCCAATCTTAAAATCAGAAAAGGACTTGAATAGACACGTCTCCAAAGAAGATATACAGATGGCCAACAAGCACATGAAAAGGAGAATGCTTAACAGCATTAGTTATTAGGAAAACATAAACCAAAATCAGAATGAGGTATCCCTGCATACCTACTGGGATAACAATAAAATGGAAAATAACAAGCATTGGTGAGGATGCGGAGAAACTGGAACACTGTACATTGCTGGTAGGAATATAAAATGGTTCAGCCATCATGGAAACCATTTGGAGTTCCTCAAATAGTTAAACACTGAAGGCTGGGCGCAGTGGCTCATGCCTGTAATCCCAGCACTCTGGAAGGCCAAGGTAGGCAGATAACTTGAGGTCAAGAGTTCAAGACCAGTCTGGCCAACGTGGTGAAACCCCATCTCTACTAAAAACACAGAAATTAGCCAGACGTGGTGGCACACATCTGTAACTCTAGCTAGTTGGGAGGCCAAGGGAAGAGAATTGCTTGAACCTGGGAGGCAGAGGTTGCAGTGAGCCAAGATTGCCGCCACTGCACTCCAGGCTGGGCAACAGAGAAAAGCTCTGTCTCAAAAAAAAAAAAAAAAGGCCAGGCACGGTGGCTAACGCCTGTAATCCCAGCACTTTGGGAGGCTGAGGCAGGTGGATCACGAGGTCAGGAAATCAAGACCATTCTGGCTAACACGTTGAAACCCCGTCTCTATTAAAAAAAAATACAAAAAAAAAAAAAAAAAAAAATAGCCGGACGTGGCGGCGGGAGCCTGTAGTCCCAGCTATTCAGGAGGCTGAGGCAGGAGAATGGTGTGAACCCCGGAGGCGGAGCTTGCAGTGAGCTGAGATCACGCCATTGCACTCCAGCCTGGGCGACAGAGCAAGACACCGTCTCAAAAAAAAAAAAAAAAAAAAAAAATTGAATTACCATGTGATCCAACAATTCAACCCCTGTGTACGTACCCTCCCAAAATAAAAATGGGTTCTCAAAAGCATGTACATGCATGTTCATAGTAGCATTATTCACAAAGCCAAAAGATGCAAACAGCCCAAATGTCTATAGATAGATGAATAAACTGTGGCATACACGATACACACACAATCGAATACTATGCAGTCATAAAAAGGAATAAAGTCTGTTACATGCTACCTGAGGGTGAACCTTGAAAATATGCTAAGTGAAAGATAGACACAAAAGTCCACACACTGTGATTCCGTTTATATGAAGTATCTAAAATAAGTAACTATAGAGACAGAAGTAGACTGGTGATTGCCAGGGGCTGGGGGAAGAGGGCAATGGGAAGAAACTTCTCAATGGGTATGGGGTTTTTCTTTTGGAATGAGGAAAATGTTTTGGAACTAGTCAGAGGTGGTCGTTGCACAGCATTGTGAATTCACTAAATGCCACCGAAACGACCACTTTATGGTAAATTTTATGTTGTGTGAATTTCACCTTCAGTTAAAAAAAAAAAAGTAAAACTACTCAGACAACGCCAAATTATTGACAATTTCAACTTATCCCACAGACCCCAAATCCTGGAATCACAACCCCGTAGGCCAATTCTCAGGTCAGGCAGCAATTTCATCCCTGTTCAATTTTATCCAGAGCTCCTGGTGGCTCTGAAGCGCTCTAGGGAACAGACTAGGAAAATTCTCATGGTGTTACCTCACATCGGGCCACTAGTGCTCCTTTAATGTGAGAACAACCGGGAGGAGGAGAGGATGTGCACCTAAAACTACAAGGAAGAGTGTCCTCGAAGCGTATGTCCTACGGCCCCACGCTGCTGCCAGGCCCACAGGAAGATGACAGGCCCGGCCTCCACTCCTTCTAAGGTCATTGCCCAGTTTCGACGTCGGGATGATCCCGTCATCCGCGCGGCTTGAAGGGCACCCTCCCCGCGCGCCCGGGGCTCCAAGTGGGGCGCCAGTGAACGAGAGAACGCGGCGTCGCCCACCGGGCGGGGCCTGGGCGGGCGCGGGGCGGGGACTGGGCCGGCGCCGGGTCCAGCTGGGCGCTCCGCCAGCTGCGTAAACTCTACTGGAGCGCGGCGGTGGAGCAGGTGAGCAGGCGGTGCTGGGGGTGCCCAGGCCAGGGCCCTGTCGCCCGCGGCGTTAAGGGCCCGGGGTGGGGCTGCGCCCTGAGGGCCCGGCCCTGCCCTCCGCACGCCCCTAGCTGCGGTCCCTTCCCCGGCTGTGGGGCTGCGGCCCCTGCGTGCGCAGTGCTTCTGGCTTCTGTGGCCAGCGCGGGGGCGGAGAGAGGAGAGTGCCCGGCAGGCGGCTGCTGGGCCAGCCCGGAACTGGGTGGTGGAAGGATCGCGGGAAGCTGCCCTCAGGCCTCTGGCCTCACTGCGTCTCCACTTCCCCGCGCCCGCCTGCCCCCGAGCCCCAGCTGGGGGTGGGCGCGGCGCGAGCTGTTAAAGGGCCGGTGCGTTTAAAGGAGCCGTGCACGTGGGTCTCTGAGGCGTGTAGCAGGGCGGGGGCGTTTTGTTCTTCCTCTCTCTTGCCTGAGACCTCCGTTGCGCAGAGTCCATCCGGCCTCCAGCATCCGGCCCTGGGCATGCTTTCCCCAGAAAGGAGGCGCGCGGGGGCTCTGCCCGCACTTGAGGGCAGGGCCGCAGAGCCGCAGGCGCAAGCCTAGAGCCGGTTTCTGTTAGCAGCGGTGTTTGGCTGTTTTATCAGGCATTTGCAGCTGTGAGGAGGCAGCCAGAAGCAAGCTTCTGGAACTGAAGGAACCTGAGACAGAAGCTAGTCCCCACTCCGAATTTTACTGATGAAGAAGCTGAGGCCACAGAGCTAAAGTGACTTTTCCCAAGGTCGCCCAGGTAGGATATAGCAGAGCCAGGCTTCAACCCCAGTGTCCTGGCTTCTAGATCTGCTGTACATCCCTCCGAGCAGACCTCAACCGTGTTTATTGGCTTAATAAGTATTCCCTTAGACAGGTATGAACGGTGTTGAGTGAAGTAACTGCATCCCTATTTACAGATGGAGTACCTGAGAGCATCCCAAAGAGACGATTGCAGACTAAACTCTATGGAGTAACTTGATTAGGACCGACCCCATCTTCCAGTAAGGAGGCCCCTGATGCCTCTGTAGCCAATTCTGCAGACACCTGAGCCTCCAAGGCCTTCGGCCAAGACCTTTGGCGGTAATTGGACGCTCGGGATAAGCTGCTTCAGGTGTGTGAGCCTCAGGCTCTTCTCTGCTGAATGTGGTTGTGGGCAGGCAGTGACTGGTGCAGGTGCAGAAGGGGCCTGGTTCCTGGCCCCAGCTCAGAGCTGCGTCCCCAGGACGCCCAGGTTGAGCCTTGGGTTCCAGGGCAGAGGCTGGAGTGAGGGCTTGGGGGGATGTTGCTTTGAAGTGGGATGGATGTTGTATCAGGTTTTTGGGGAAAACTGTACCCTTTGGTGTTGAAGTGCCCATGTGCCAAGTCTTGAGTCCAGCCTGTTCACTTGTGGGAATTGAGTGGCTTGTTCCTGTCTATTTGAAAGAGCAGCAAGGAGGAGGAGGAGCAAGGGCTAGGGGCTGCTGCTGGGGTGCCTGGAGGTGTGGTGCATAGTGTCACACCTGTCTCCCCTCCCTGGCTGCTCACCGTCCCCCCTCGGGGGTTTGCCTCTTGCCTACTTTGGCCTTTCTCTGTTATCGATGTTGATAATGCCACATATCTCGCTTATGAGTTGGTCATATACAATAAAAAGCCATCTTGTACAGAATCTTAGAATTTATGATCTTAAGAATTTCAATGACACTGAAATAGTTTATTACTTTTTACAGAAGAGGAAACAAGTTCAGGGAGTTAAGCAGCTAGTCCAGTTATGTGGCTTCAGTGCTTTAAGCACCAGGATTTGAACATAGCTGGCTACACCATCTTTATCTTTTGAGTTTTTGCACAGGAGGTTCCTGCATTCAACTCCTACCCATGTCTCTCCACTACTGCTGGGAAAGTTTCGTGGAGTTCCCATGAGCAACTTCCTGACAAACAAAATTTTTTTACAGAAACCAAAGCAGTGTGTGTAGGTCACATGCAGTGTGTCTAATGAAAATATCTCTGGCAGGTTTTCAGCTGTTGCTTTGACTTTTGGACACTGTTTAGTTGGGGACTGATAAGACAGCAAATGTTTCCGCAAGTATTCCCACCTGTTCTATTCCCAGCTGCCACAGCTGTAGAAAAGCGGGGGTGAGGCTGAGAGGCCCCGAGACGAACATTTTGCACTGGGCTCCAAGCCTGGAGATAGGATGAGCATCATGTTAATGTCTGGAGAAAAGAATGATTTCAGGCTGGGTGCTGTGGCTCATGCCTGTAATCCCAGCACTTTGGGAGGCTGAGGCGGGTAGATCACCTGAGGTCGGAAGTTCGAGACCAGCCTGACCAACATGGAGAAACCCCATCTCTACTAAAAATACAAAATTAGCTGGGTATGGTGGTACATGCCCAGCTACTCAGGAGGCTGAGGCAGGAGAATCGCTTGAACCTGGGAGGCGGAGGCTGCAGTGGGCCGAGATCGCGCCATTGCACCCCAGCCTGGGCAACAAGAGTGAGACTCCGTCTCAAAAGAATGTTTTCACATCAGTCCTCAGGAAAGACCAGATGTCAGTGAGGGAGATCATTTCTTGAGAGCCTCTTCATTGACTGGGAGAATGGGCTGCTTGTTCACCTTTGTGAAAATTCTAGAACAGGGGAAGAACAATTCAAAGGGTGCCCTCTGTTCTGCTATACCTTAACCAGAAACTTATTGGACTCTTTTTTAAATAAAAGTAATACACGTTTATTCTAGAAAACTCAGGAATTTTTTTTTTTTTTTCTTGAGATGGAGTTTTGCTCTTGTTTCCCAGGCTGGAGTGTAGTGGTATGATCTTGGCTCACTGCAGCCTCTGCTTCCTGGGTTCCAGCAATGCTCCTGCCTGAGCCTCCTGGGTAGCTGGGATTACAGGCGCACGCCATCACTCCCAGCTAATTTCTGTGTTTTTATTAGAGACGGAGTTTCACTATGTTGGCCAGGCTGGTCTCAAACTCCTGACCTCGGGTGATCCGCCCACCTCGGCCTCCCAAAGTGCTGGTATTACAAGCATGAGCCATTCCTCATGGCTGAGATAACCACTCTTAACATGCATTTCCTTCCACACTGTTCACATATGCATATTTATCTATTAAAACAATAGAGGGAGGGAACCGTAGGTGAAGTTTTTGTATCCTGTTTTTTCTGTTATGCCTTCAGAATTTTCCTTTTGTTGAGTACTCGTGGAAAAGCAGATTTGGTGGGTGTGTAGAGCATTTGAATTATTTATCCTACCAGTCCCACAGCAGGACGCTTTCCCACCCTCCCTTTTATCCCAGAGAAGCAGTGCCCTGTGTCCTCCCCATGCCCATATGTGGGCACTCCCTCCAAAGGAGCCAAACCTACCTGGGCAAGTAGCAGAGAGAGAGCAGAGTGAGCCATGGGGGCAGGAGTTGGGGTCGTGGCAGGAGAGAGACTTGAGAGTTTTGAGGTGGCAGATGAGCTGGTGATTAGGGAGCATTTCTTGACACATACCTGCCCATGGTGAAGGCATGTGCCTTGTAAGTGTGCTCACAGAAAGCCTACGTGATGTGTGGTGGGGCTGCCTGTATGACTAAACCCTGGCCACTGGGTACGTGACTCTCACAAGTGCTGAGTGGACTGGGAAGAGCTCCTTGATGGGCAGTTTGGAGACTTGAGTTGTAACTGTGGCTTTTGGCCATGGGACATTAACTGATTACTTTTGCCCCTCTAGGCTTCAGTTTTCCTTAATTATAATACAGGGAGCTGACTAGGTGGCATTGGTGGCCTTTAAGATCCTTGCCAGCTCTGACATTGTCCTATGGATATGCCCTTTCATTTGATAATATGTTTACGTGGCCATAGGGCCTGGGGCCGCGCCAGGAATGGAAACTTGATCTCTGGGGCCTGGCCTTTGAAGCCAGTTCATGTGTCTGGTGGTTCAGCAGATCCGTCACTTTCCAAGAGGCACATCAACAGGCTTCTGTGTCCTCTCTCACTGTGTCCCTCCTCCGTTTCATCTTCTTTATAACTACCACTTATTGAATGCCTACTGTGTGCTGGACACTTTACAGGTTATCTCTAGGTTTTATGGTAATCTTGCAAGGTATGCCTGTTCTGCTTTTTACAGCAGAGGAAATGAGCTGTGTCAGATTAGACTGTCTGAGGCCTCTCAGCCAGGGAATATGTGGTTCAAATCACACAGGCAGGCGATCCGAACCCTGTCAGTCTCCAAGCCTCTGCTTTTGACCACTGACTTGCTGCTGCTTGTTTAAAAATAAATGTGTTTCTGGAGCCTACTCTAGGGCGTCATGCTAGGGGCTCCCTCTCCCACTTCTCCACAAACCACCCTTTTCCCCGGCTGCTTCAGGAAATGAGAGAACTCTGCCTGGGCCCCAGGCACTTCTGAGTGGGACAGGGCTGTTAGAGGTAAGTCTAGAGCCTGGCCCAGAGTTCAGGAGGCCCCATCAGAGGGCCTCTGGGGCCTGTGGTCTGGGAGGGTGGTAGGGCAGTACCTCACTTCCCTTTGAGACTCAGGCCCCAGCTCTGGCTTAGGCCAGGGAGAACCATCCCCAAGTGGTATGTGTTACTATACGGGCTGAGATGGATGGACAGATGGATGGTCAGTTGGACCAAATACATAGTTGGGTACCCAGGGCCAGGGGGAGAAAGGTGAGCAGGGCAGCCATGGGCGTTTGTCCGGGTATCACCTGGCCTTAAAAATTTCTTCCTTATTTTAAGGGAGGACTGTGGGACTTCTCAGACATCAGAAAAGTGATGTGACGGAGCTGTGTGACCATAGAAAGTGATGTGTTAAAAACCAGCGCCTCCCTCTTTGAAAGCCAGGGATCGTTATCATTCATCTAACCTGCTGGGAAGAAGAACCAGTTGTCCAGGATCCAAACCTTTCTGCGGCCCCAAGTGTTTGTGGTAAGTGCAGTGACTCCCAATCCGCTTTCGAACCCGTTTTTTCCATTAGGATTTTCTCCATGGAGGCAGATTTCCATGGGGGTTTGCTGTAGCGTTTTGAAATCCGTTTCTTACCTAGTTCCATTGGCCTTAAATGTTAAGGCCAAAGCGTTTACATTTCTCTGTAATGAAAAGAAGGTCAAGGAAATTGGGTCATTGGGTTTCCATAATAATTGCAGGAACTGCTGACACAAGCGTGGCTGGGGAGATTCTCTAGGTCAGACTCCCTTGGTTTGGCTAATTCAGCAGTTTGATCCTATTCAGCTGATTAATGGGAATGTGCAGTGGCCTCTTTGGATGTTTGATTTTGCATCCTAATCCAAAGCAGCTATCAGCCTCAGCACTTCCTTGTCAGAAGGCTTTCCAGAACGTAGTGTGTACGCTGGACACTTTCTTCTGCCCCTCTGCATTTTCCTGCCACTTCTCTAGAGAACGGGGTACAGGGGGTGGGAGATGGGGAAAGCTGGTTGCTGTGTGGTTGATGGGATTTGACATCACCCAGCTCCACCCCCACCTGCCCATGAGTCAGCCTCTGGGGAGAGTTCTTTGCGTCACCGGCACCCTCATGTGGACAAACATCTAGCAGGTTGTTTATCTGCACACATATGGGTGGTAATTTTTCCCTCCAAGGATTTCAGAGCACCAGCAGGCTTCAGAGCAGACTTAGGTGGCTTGCAAAGCAGGCCCTTAGGAATTCAGAGGGAAGCAGAAGTCCATCCCAGATGCTCTGTTTTCCTTTAGGAGCTAGGTAAATCAGAGGGGCTGAGGGACAAATGAAAAAACGTCACAGCTTTGGCTCCCATCTGCTACTCCTGGCCAATGAGAGGGGATCTGGGAGGGGCAGACATAGAGGAAAATCTCTAAATGTTGATGCTCGTTGTTTTCCTTTAAATAATTAATGGCCTAAAAAAAAACCCTACAGATATAGTCTGTGTTTATTATAGAGACTTAGGGAAATGCAGAAAAATATAAAGAAAATAACCACTCTCGGTTCCACCATGCAAACATAATCACCTTTAATGTTTTGTAATATTTCCAGTCCTTCATATACATACATTTTATAAGGACATTCAGATGATTAGGTTTGTAAAGTTTTATGTTCTGTTAAATTTAACATCTTGTCATTGTTCAGGTTATTAAATATTTGAAATAAGATTTTTGGTGGTCCTGTAACAGTCTCCATCAGGGAAATACATCATAGTAGAGAGACATTTTGGTCAGTTTCACTTTTTTTTTTTTTTTTTTTTTTTACAGTTAACACATATGTTTGTATAAATACTTTATATTTTCTTAGGACAAATTCTGAGAAGTAGCATTTCAGGATCAAAAGGTGTGCTGTGTTTAAAGTGTTGATTCTTACTCCTTTCAGTAAGGCCAGTGCAGTTTGTCCAGGTAGTGACTGAGACCCAGTTTTTCCACACTCTCTTCCGCAGCAGGCATTGTTTTAGGCCTTTTTCAGCCCAAGAGTTCTCTTCTCCCCATGCCGCTCTGCTGGTCTGCATTTTCCACTCCTCTTCCTCCCTAGTTGGTCTCTGACCAGACTGTAGATATCCAGGAGAAAGTGTTCATTGTCTCATTGTCCCATTCGGCAATCAAGTAGTGCCAACCAGTCGGGGGGCGAAGGTGGGTGGGGGAGGTACACTCACCTTGCTGAGCAAGGGCCCCAGCCTGGTCGTGTGATTATAAAGCAGAGGCAGTGCCAGGAAAAGTCAGACACTGGCTGAGAATCACCCGGGGGCCGACCATCCTGAATGCAGATCCCTGACACTGGGTGAGGATGGAGCTTGGAGATCTGCATTTTTAATAAGCAGCCTAGCAGAGTGGTAAAGAGCCCAGACACAGACTATCTAGATCCAAGGGTAACCTTGAGCTAATTACTTTTTGAGCCTCTGTTTCCTCATCGGTACCATGGGGAAGAATAGTAGCGCCTTGCTCCAGGGTCATGATGTTTAGTGCCAGGTAAGGGCTCAGCAGGTGCTGGTCCATCTCCACCAGCTCCCAGTGGCCTGGGCCACCTTTGAGAAATAGTGATCCTAAGGGATTCAGCCTTTCCTAAGTTGGTGCCTCCCACCTGTTACCCCCACCCCACCAGGCTAGGAGGGTTGTGATTAGAGGGTGCCCTTGCTGTGACAGCTGAGACTAGCTTTTCCCTGATTATTCCTTAATGACAGCTCCCTCCTTCCCTACTTTCTTGAAGTCTTGGTCCTCATTGTTGTGGGCACAGCTTGAGGGGAGGCCTTGGAGGAATGTTTGAAAGTGGAATGAGGGAAGCAGCCTGCTCAGGGAGCACTTGTTTTCTGGTGAGGAGGCCGCATGTATGAATGACATTTGTGGGTGAGAAAGCAGATTTTGTAGTTTTCCCTTGTTTCTTTCTGAAGAGCTGTCAGGTCTTGATGAGACCAGGCCTGGGCACAGGGCAGGCAGTCGGCGAGTGTGGATGACGATGGCAGTGGTCACCAGGTGCCTCTTTCCTGTCTAGCACAGTGTCACATGGAAAGGCTACGGTCCTTTAACCCCACCCTCCCCAGCATGACTATCACACATGTCAGGGAACTTCTGCTCACAGAACTGCTTTCCAGGGATGGCCTTTTTTTTTTTTTTTTTTTTTTGAGACAGTCTCAACTCTGTCGCCCAGGCTGGAGTGCAGTGGTGCGATCTCAGCTCACTGCAGCCTCTGCCTCCTGGGTTCAAGCGATTCTCTTGCTACAGCCTTCTCAGTAGCTGGGATTATAGGTACCTGCCACCATGCCTGGCTAATTTTTGTATTTTTATTAGAGACGGGGTTTCCCCATCTTGGCTAGCTGGTCTTGAACTCCTAACCTTGGGTGATCTGCCCACCTCAGCCTCCCAAAGTGCGGGATTATAGACGTGAGCACCGCACCCAGCCCCAGGGAGTGTCTTATTAGTGGTTGGCAACTGAATGGAGAAGTGGGAATTGGAAGGACCTGATTCTACTTGATCCTGGGTCCCCTGCTTCTCCGTCTTCACCCACCCATCAGCTCCCTTTCTCCTTTAAGCAGGTAACTTTGCTCTCTGCTTATCCATTTTTGTTGTGCATTGCTATTTGGGAGCCTATCTTCTGAATGCTACAGCTCTTGTGGGTCTGAAGGGTGAGCCTGCCCTCTGTCCTTAGGGGCTGCAGCCTGTGGTTTTTTAGGTACAGGGACTCCCAGAACTGCTCCTCCAGTCATAGCAGAGATAAGTCACAGGAGCTTGAGAGGCATAGGAAGAACAGAGGGAGGAGATCGTAGCTTCCCTGTTCGTTCACACCCAAAACAAAACTGTCATGCTAGAAAAGGAGGTATTAAGAGAGCCACCTGTACAGTCTCGTAGCCCATCCAGCACACTGCTCCAGACGGAATGTTATGATTTAGCTTGAGAAAATGCAGCAGCTCTTTGTTTTGGTGCCCCTTTTGGAGTCAGTGAGTTCCCTATTGCCAGAGTGGATAGTGAGGGAAACCCTGGGTCCAGGCAGGAGTCTGTTTAGGATTTATCTAGTGAGGCTGAGCCAAAGGAGGATCTTGAAGTTTCTTCTCTTCAATTTAATTAATTAATTAATTTATTTCTGTAGAGATGGGGTTTTGCCATGTTACTCAGGCTGGTCTTGAACTCCTGGGCTCAAGCGATCCGTCTGCCTCCGCCTCCCAAACCATTGGGATTACAGGCGTGAGCCGAGCCACCATACCCGGCCCTTCTCCTGCATTTCTGCCTGATAATTTCTCTCATTTCCATAGATGATGAAGGAACTAAAGCCAAGAACTTTCCAACGTCTTGCAACTCTTTGGGGTTGTGAGGCTGTGCTCCATTTGTCTGGGTTTTGCTGATTCCCAGAACTTCCCTGTGGCCCCGAGGCCTAGTCTGAGGCGACTCTGAGTGAAGAGGGAGGAGGGCCCACACCTCTTTTGTAAAGGCTGCTTTTGTAAAGTTCACTTCAGTTCACATCTTTCTCCTGGTCAGAAACCTTTGGGGGCTCTCCTCTGCTGCATTAAGCTCTTACACCTCCATCAGGCACCAAACTCCTCCCTGGATGGCCCATCCTACCAGGTCCCCACATTTCAGCCACATCCAATTGCTTGATATTATCAGGATAGGCCATGTTATGTTCCTAACTCATATGTTTACTTAAGTGGTTACCTCTTTCCAGAATGAGCCCCCTCCTCCAAACTCTGCCTGGTGAAATATTCCTAACCTTTGCAGCTTCATGTCCTAATTTCTTGTGACCTGAGGCATCTATTCCTGACAACTGGTAGACTCTGTCCCCTTCTAACTCTCGGGTGCATTGTCCTTGTCACCTCCCTCCTGGCTTTTAGCTGGCTTTGCTTCCTGCTGTTGTTACTCCTGTACTTGTCTTATCTATCCTAAACAGAAGGTGCTTCAGGCTGGGGAGTTTGTTCATGTTGAAATCCCTGTGATGGAGGTGAGCAGAGGCAGGTTTTGCCTGTGCCTCTTGTTTGGGGATGAAGTTAAAGTCCCTGTGGGAATAATCCAGGCAACAGCCAGGGTCGCTGTCTTCAGAAGGAAGGGCAGCCACAAGTCTTGTTAAGGGGATTGAAATTGGCTGACTTGGAAGGAACCTGCCTGCTTTGTTTAAAAACCACATGTAACTGGGTGTAGTTGTTCACACACTGTAATCCCAGTGCTTTGGGAGGCTGAGGCAGGAGGATCACTTGAGGCCAGGGGTTTGAGACTAGCCTGGGCAACAAAGTGAGACCCCCATTTCTACAAAATATTTTAAAAATTAGCCTAGTGTGGTGGCGTACATCTGCAGCCCTAGCTACTGAGGAGGCTGAGGCGGGAGAATTGCTTGAGCCTAGGAGTTCGAGGCTGCAGTGAGCTATGATTGCACCACTGCACTCCAGTCTAAGTGACCAGTGAGACCCTGTCTCTAAAAATAAAAATAAAAATAAAAATCACACATATTGTGGGGCGACTTACTTGAAGACGAACTTTCAGCAGAGAGCACACCTGTCCTTGCCCAGGGTGTGAAGCTCAGCCCTGAGGGTCTCTAGACAGCGATAACTCAGCCTCTGTCCCCGTCTGGGATGTTGGCAAGAATAGTCAGATTTGCCAGGCATTGTTTGGAGCTCTTCCCAGCCCGGAATCCTGCATGTGTAGATTTTGGTACACTAGGTCCCCCACTTGGTACTACTGTATAGAAACCACAGTCAGCACTGTTTTGCGGGGGCAGGCTTCCCTCTTGTGGTCCCCTTGGCCTTGGCCTTCCCCTGGGTCACACCTTCAGTGGCACTTCCCCACCCCACACGCCTGCTCCCGTGGTTTAGGTCTCCACTTCTAACCTCAGGAGACCTGGTCCTCAGACGCCTCCCAGACAGCTTCCCCATTTTATCCAATAGACACTCAAAGGGTAAAATTCACAGTCTTTCCCGAGACTCTCTTCTCCGGTCTTCCCTGTCTTAGTCCCCACCTGGCTGCCATTCTAGACTCTGTTTTCTCTCCTGTGTCAGGTCCTGCCCTTGACCTCCTGACCTCTTCTGGACTCTGCCCTCACTTGCATCTATCCTGCTGCTGTCCTCGGTCCTCCTCACCTGCCACAGTCATCTCTGGGGATCACTTTCCCTCCCTGGCCAGTGGCCAAACTGACTTTAATGAACCCAGTTCAGATCTTGTCTGTCACGATTGTCCTCAGGGTGATGTGTGTCTCCTTAACATGGTGCCTGAGACCCTGCTCATCTCCACTGCCCGCCCCACAGTGTGAGGCCCTCACTGGAACATTTTCTGTGCCTTCTGCCCTTCCCTCCTCCTGGGAAAACCAGTCTCCATCAGATAGGCTCTTCTCTAGAAAACATTCCTGATCTCTGAGATTTGATTCCACTTTTGTGCTTCCGCACCTACCATCACACACCTGGATCGTATGATTTGTCACATTAGATGATTTTTTTGTTTTGTTTTGTTTTAGGACAAGGGTGTTTCTTACTCATCTTTATATCCTCAGAGCCCAGCATGATCTTTGGTGCATAACAGATGCACCACAGATGTTTGCTGATTGAACGAATGAGCACACTGACAGTTTGGAGCTGCCCTGACTTTCATGGCTGTAGGTTTTGCCCCCTGGGATGTGAGTAACCTCAGGCCAGTCCCAGGCAAGGCCACTGCTGCCTCCATGGCAGCTTTCAAGGCCTTTTGTTCTGTGGCAGTCGTTTGATTGACAGGCATCTCTTGGACGCTTGTGGGGCAGGACTTGTGTCCAGGTTTCCAGGTCACCTCCAGCCACCCCCAGAACCCTCCACTGCCTTTGTCTCACAGGAAAGTGGAACAAGGTCCTTGTGCTCCTTTTTCCAGGTACTTCCGGAGGCAGGGCTATGCTCACATTCATGGCCTCTGACAGCGAGGAAGAAGTGTGTGATGAGCGGACATCCCTAATGTCGGCCGAGAGCCCCACACCGCGCTCCTGCCAGGAGGGCAGGCAGGGACCAGAGGATGGAGAGAACATTGCCCAGTGGGTAGGTCCCACCAGCAGCTGGGGGCCTTGAAACAGGTCCCTGGGGCTCCTGTACCTTACAGATGAAAACCAGATGTTCATTCCCTGATGCGGGAGGGAGAAGGGAAGTAATGATGAGGATTGGCCAAAAGGGTGGGTGGCTGGCCATGGTAGACCTTCCGTCTGCAGGGCTTCATAGGACTCTGCGCATTCACAGCCAGAGATGGACTTGGCAGTGAGCTGAAGGATGCTGTCCACTCTGCCCCCTTAGGTTTACCTTTCTCATGCAGGTCACTGTTTCCACTGTAGTAGGAGAGTTTATTTGGATGCCTGGGTGCTAGGACAGGTAATGCAGAAGCTTAGGATGGTAGCAGGGGAAGCATTTTTTGGCAGATGGCCAGACATGGTAACTGAGAGGAGTCTGCCTGATGCACAGTTGACTTTTGAGCTGGGGATACTTGGGCTGCACTGTGATCATCCGGCCCCCAGGGGAGGAGATTATAACGTTAGAAAGAGTAGGATATCCTTGGGAGAGCCACTTAGTTTTGCCCTTTCTCTCCCGATCAGAGCAAAACATCTGAATTTGCCTGAATCCTGTTCTCTGTTTTGCCCATTATAGAATTTAAAAATGTCTCTGTGTGGATTGTTTTCTTGCAGCCAGTCTTAATCCCTCTTGCTGAAATTTGAGCTCACTTCTCCATGTTCTCCTTGAGAACAGAACCATCGTCCCTAAGCTCTGAGTGAAATCACACCAGCTCAAGGCCACTGCTCGGCCACTCCTCAGCCTTTTCTTGTTAGTTTGTTATCTCTGGGAAGTTTTGTACATTTTAGTCGTTTCAGTTTCTGTTCATGAATAGTCTTCCTTTCCTTTCTTGGCTGAATGGCTAGATTGGGACTCTCTCTGCAGACAACCGGTACTGAAGCAAATTTTTGGTTCTTGTTTCATTTGGCTTTTTCTTTAGCCGTTCACCTCATTAGCAAGGCAGCCCATGACCCTGACTTGCCACAGTTCTCACAGATCGGTTTGTGCCAGTGTCTGGCAGGTGTCCTGCCCTCCCTCGCTACCTCCTCATTTGTGCCTGCCCACCTTACCAGAGCCTGCGTCTTCTCAGATGCTTAATGCCCGTTTAGCCTCTCTAGTTCAGAGCTGCAAATTTACATGCTTGATTCTGTGGGGCAGAAAATTCAAAGTAATTTCTTCCTCTGCAAATTCCCAGTATCTTAGTCACACTCAAAGAGAGTGTCCTTTGCACTGACTCCTCTAGCTAGTGATTTGTCAACCAAAAATGTTTAGTCTCTGTTTTCCTTCTATCTCCTGGCCTGTCTCCTCCCATATCAGCATGGCCACGTGAACAGAATTGAGCAACCTCCTGAGTCCCTGTATTAGGAAGGGGAAAGATCTTTTGATGTGTTCCAAATTCATTAACCATTTAGTCTTGGGCCTGCAGACCATAGCAGCCTACCTTCCTTCATTTGTAGTGCCTCATCCAGCTCCAAATCTTCTCTACTCTTGTCCTCATAAACTTTTCGTATGCCCTAGCAGCTCATAGACTGCTCCTTATATCTGGAAAACAACATTCAAACTTCTCATTTCTGGTTCCAAAAATCCATGCATTACACAGATAGGCTGCCATAGGGGACATTCCGCGGCCCTCACGATGTGGTTTCCCACAGAGAAGCCAGGAGAACGAGGAGGACGGTGAGGAGGACCCTGACCGCTACGTCTGTAGTGGGGTTCCCGGGCGGCCTCCAGGCCTGGAGGAAGAGCTGACCCTCAAGTACGGGGCAAAGCACGTGATCATGCTGTTTGTGCCGGTCACTCTGTGCATGATCGTGGTGGTAGCCACCATCAAGTCTGTGCGCTTCTACACGGAGAAGAATGGACAGCTGTGAGTTGGGGGCTTGGGGGGCACAGGGTGGGGTGAGGGCTGAGTTGTCGGGGGGCAGCAGCCTGTGTTGGTCACTGCATCTACTGCTCCACACCAGCAGTGGTAAAGAGCAGGGATGAAGAACCGCCCAGGTTCATGGCCTGGCTCACTGCCTCCTGGATTGTGACCTACTTGGGCATGCTGTTAATGTCCCTATGCCTCAGTTTCCTTGTCTGTCTAATGGGTTAATAACGCAGTTACTGGGAGAATTAAGTGAGTTAATACGAGTGAAAGGCTTTGAAGAGTGTCTGCTACAGGTGAGTGCTCAAGCAAGCTGGATCCTGCCGCAGAAATCAAACTCTTGCTGCAAAGCACTGGGCTCCTTGTTCCTAGTCCTAGATCCTGCGCGTGGCTGTGCCACCCATTCCTTTGTGACCGCAAACAAATCACTTCCTCTCTGGGTCTCTGCTTCCTTGAATGTGAAACAAGGTGGTTGGACCAGATATTTCTCAGCTCACTTCCAGCCTTGTGAGAAAGACTTATAAAGCCTTTCGTTTATTTTAGTAAAATACATGCAGAGGCAGCAGCGTCGAAAAATGAGGAGCTTCCTCCACTTCTTCCCCCTCCCCTTTCTGTGGTGCTCACTGCTAAGCACCTTCTATAAACATTGTTTTTTTTAATTTCTGGAATTTTTGTTTCATTTTGTGCGTGTTGGTTTGTTTTTTTGTTTCTTTTAAAGAAAGGAATAAGGCCAGGTGTAGTGTCTCATGCCTGTAATCCCAGCACTTCGGGAGACTGAGGCGAGAGGATTATTTGAGCCCAGGAGTTTGAGACCAGCCTGGGAAATGTGGCGAGACCCTGTCTCTACAAAAAATACAAAAATTAGCCAGGTGTGGTGAGACACATCTGTAGTCTCAGCTACTTGGGAGGCTGAGGTGGAAGAACACCGGCGCCCAGAAGTCAAGGCTGCAGTGAGCCATGATTGCGCCACTGTACTCCAGCCTCAGCAACAGAGTGAGACCCTGTCTCAAATTTTTTTAAAAAAATTAAAAAAGTAGAGTCCCATTCTCAGGAAGCTTATAGTGTGTGGGAGATTCAGCACAGCAGAGGTGGAAGCATGGAGAGAATGCAGCCAGCAGTTTGTTTGCAGCAGTCCAGGCTGGGAAGAGTGAGGTTTGGGTGAATTGCTTCCTGTCTCTGCTTCCTGAGCTTATGAACTGCAAGGACAGCAGTTACTCCAGCGGGTAGGGGTAGGGTAGTAGCAGGTGGAGGGGTGCTGGGCTGGGTGGAGCTGGTGGAGAGGTGTGGGTGGGTGGGGGAATGAGAATTGGATGGGTGAGAGAAGCGCCTAGGGAGCCTTTAATCCCTGTGGGGGTGGGGAGGGCAGCGGGGAGGTCATCTAGCCCTCATCCTCACTGCGGCACTGGGCCCAGGTGGCAGGCTGAGAGCCACAGGTCTGTGGTCAGGGTGCCAGGAAATGAGCTGGAGGACAGGAACTGCTCACGGGGGTGGTGCCTGCACTCCATCAGGGCAGCACGTGGGCGGTATGGGCATCCCAGGCACCTCCCCTAGCAGGTCCAGAATCACTCAAGGTGGGGAGCCTCGAGGAGCAGGCAGGGCTGGGAGCGTCAGCCCTTTGCCTCCTCCCTCAGCATCTACACGCCATTCACTGAGGACACGCCCTCGGTGGGCCAGCGCCTCCTCAACTCTGTTCTCAACACCCTCATCATGATCAGCGTCATCGTGGTTATGACCATCTTCTTGGTGGTGCTCTACAAGTACCGCTGCTACAAGGTGAGCCCCTGGCCCTGCCCTCCACCCACCTGTCTCTCTCCCTGTCTGCCCCACACCATGGTGGCAGAGCCTGTGAAACAGCCACCTTTAAAAAACACAAATCAGAGGAAAATAGACCCAGAGTTTTTGTACTCCTTCCCACCCCATCCTGTCTCCCACCATGGATGACCTAATACTGTTGTCTTTTATTTTTATTTATTTTCTTTTTCTTGAAACATGGTCTTACTCCATTGCCCAGCCTGGAGTGCAGTGGTTCGATCATGACTCACTGCAGCCTCAACCTCCTGGGCTCAAGAAGTTCTCCCGCCCAGCCTCTCAAGTAGCTAGGACTACAGGTGTGCACCACCATACTTGGCTAATTTTTAAATTTTTTTTGTGGAGGCTAGATCTCACAGTGTTGCCCAGGCTGGTCTCAAATTCCTGGACTCAAGTGATCCTCCCACCTTGGCCTCCCAAAGTTCTGGGATTACATGTGTGAGTCATTGCACCCAGCCTGTTTTCTTTTAAATTTGCACATTATCCCACTTGAGTTCCTCATTGCAGTGTTCCAAGCATCATTTCTCATAGTTCGAAGTTAATTTTGTTTAGCTTCTCTTTCTGAAGTTCTATTTTAGGCTCCTCTCACCCCAATACTTCCCCTGAAGATTTATTTTTAGTTTTCCTTTTCCTTTTCGTGCAAGGATGTGCAGATGCCATGCTGAGGTCTTTCAGCCCTGGGAGACTTTCGGGTTGTAGCTGCCTATAGCTGCTAAGTAGCCCCAGGGAGTAGTGGAAGGGCAGATCCCATCTGGCCAGAATTATGGGCACTGCCTGTCTCCAAAGATGCCATAACCTTTTAGACAGCGGCTTCAGGCTTTTCTCCCAGGGAAGGGGTTGAACCACTAAAGATGGAAAGGTGATTAAGCTGGGCATTACCTATTTTAAAACTGTTTACACACAGGTGCCTCACAACATTTTTTGTTCAGGCAGCTGCCATCCATGGAGCAGGTAGATAGTGGTACAGAGTGCCCAGGCTAGAGGGATGGGACAGGGGCAGTGCAGGGAGGGAGCTGAGCCCCGTTCCAGTGGGGGCAGCAGCGGGGAAGGCCATGGGAGGGGCTGCAGGACATGTCCTGAGCTGAAGCTTATCAATAAGTAATGAGTACGAGCTGGGCATGGTGGTGCATGCCTGTGGTCCCAACTACTCAGGAGACTGAGGCGGGAGGATCGCCTGACCCCAGGAGTTCAAGTCTAGCCTGGACGATGTAGTAAGACCCTGTCTCTAAAAAAAATAATAATAAAATAAGTAACAATTACCTGTGTAACTGTGACGAGGCAGGGTTTGAACATTGCCACTGGGAGGTTGGCAGATGGTGGGAAGCAGGGTGGAGGGCTGCTGGTTTGGAGCAGAGGATACAGATTGCATGAGGTCAAGCTAGAAATTGCATGGCAGGTGTGAAGTGCTGGCACCACTGAGGGCAGTAGGTGTCTGGTGGCCAGTCCCAGAGGCTGTGAAGAGGGGCTCAGCCATCTGTCCAGTAGGGCTTCCTTGGAGGTTCCGCAACACAGGCAGATGATGGTGGCCCGGGCGGCCAGGTGGCGGCTGGGAGGAAGAGGGTCGGCGCGTCCCAGAGGCAGCCCTTTCCCCTTTTGGCTGTGCATACAGCATGGCCGTGGAGGCTGCTTTCACTCCAGGTAGACCAGGGCCAAGCTGAGGTCCCAGTGGGTTGAGCTGGTGACTGATGAGTTGGTCCTCAGGGGTGAGGCTGATGGGAAGTCATATCACTGTCCTGCTGATGGCCAGCTAAGGGACTGGATTAGGATCAGCCCCCTCTTGTCCTTCACTCTCCTATGCTTGGCCAGGAGACAGGAACAGGTCTTTCTGAGGACCTGTTTGTAGGTCCCAAGGGTGAGAGGGGACTTCCCGGGTTCTCTGTTGAGGCCACCCTATCTAAAATAGCACCCCAGTGAGTCTCCTGTCACTCTATCCTGCTAACATTTTTTTCTTCATGGCCCTCATCATTACTTGCTAATATACTGTAAATTTGTCTATATGTCATCTAACTCCCCTTACACTGGAACACAATGCCCATGGGCAGAGACTTTGCTAGCCTTGGCTTCAGAACCTAGAACAGTGCCTGGCAAGTAGAAGACACCCAGCATTACCTTTCTAACTGAACGAGTAGAGTTGGGGGAGACTGCAAGGCTATGCCAACAGACCTGAGGGAGTCTTGTCTGCACACACTGCAAGGTGACCTGAGGGGAACTCCTTGGATTTCTGTGCCCTCTGTATCTGTAAGGTGGCCACCTGATCCCTTCCAACGTAGGCATGAAGTAGCCTAACAGAGCATTCAGGCTTGGGTATCAGTCCCAGGATCCTGGGGGCCTTAGGATTTGTGGCACTTGGGGATACCTTGTGATCGTGCCATTTCTATTGTCTAGTTCATCCATGGCTGGTTGATCATGTCTTCGCTGATGCTGCTGTTCCTCTTCACCTATATCTACCTTGGGTAAGCGGCAGACGAACAGCACTGGGAGCCCCTCTCCATGCGGCACAAGTGGACATGGGCATGAGGACCTGGGCAGGGAAAGGTGACCGTCGAGCTCCAGTGTTCCCCAGTGCCAGCCGTTCTGGAATCCAGGCCTTCATGGCCCTCTCTCATGGCCTTGACACAGGGGAGTAGAAGTGGGGCTGCATGGTGGACCCCACGTTTCTGTCTTGTTCCTGATTTAAAACGAACCCTTCATGGAGAAGGCGCTCTGTGAACCCCAGGGGGATAGAAATTCCACAAAATTTACATTCTAATTTTTGGGCTAGGCCTGGGTACTTCCTGGTTTGTGGGAAAAAGTATCTGTTCTATTGCCCCTTGATTTGGGATATCATCCTGACCCAGGGGCCCAAAGGGACTGGAGGGACAAGAGAAAACACCTTCCCAAGGACCTTTTCATGTGCACAGGGTCTTCCAGGTCATGCCTGTACACTTTTCTGTGACCTGTTCCAAACATCCCCACCTTGTTCTAGAAAATGTCGCAAATGGTAAATTGTAAGGACAGTGAAGGTCGGGGAAGGAAATGTTAGTAAGGAGGGCCAGGTTGGGACTGAATGGTGGTAAACTGCTAGACTGTAATGTCTCCACTGAGTCCCACTCACAGGCTCCTTGGTCCTGCAGGGAAGTGCTGAAGACCTACAATGTGGCCATGGACTACCCCACCCTCTTGCTGACTGTCTGGAACTTCGGGGCGGTGGGCATGGTGTGTATCCACTGGAAGGGCCCCCTGGTGCTGCAGCAGGCCTACCTCATCATGATCAGTGCACTCATGGCCTTGGTGTTCATCAAGTACCTCCCAGAGTGGTCCGCGTGGGTCATCCTGGGCGCCATCTCTGTGTACGGTAGGCGGGCAGCAAAGCGGGTGGGGGCAGCGGGGGCGATGTCCGCAGCCAAATTGTCCCCAGTGCTGCACAAGGAGGGCAGGTGCTGAAGGACTTGCTTCCCTTCCTGCAGAGGCTTGGGTGGACTCCCTCCTGAGAGTCACCTTTGTAAAACATAGGGGGGTCCACTATTTCGGGAACACTCCCGGTGATCTAGATAAAACACGGTAGTCACTGAGCTCCTCATTTGCCTTTTTTTTTCTTTCTTTTTTTTTTTTTTTGAGATGGAGTCTTGTTCTCTCTGTCGCCCAGGCTGGAGTGCAGTGGCGCCATCTCGGCTGACTGCAACCTCTGCCTCCCGTGTTCAAGTGATTCTCCTGTCTCAGCCTCCCGAGTAGATAGGATTACAGGCGTGTGCCACCACACTGGGCTAATTTTTGTAGTTTTAGTAGAGATGGGGTTTCACCATGTTGGCCAGGAAGATCTCGAACTCCTGACCTTGTGATCGGCCCACCTCGGCCTCCCAAAGTGCTGGGATTACAGGCGTGAGCCACCGCGCCCGGCCCTCATTTTCCATTATTATCAATATGCTGATTGAGCAAGTGCACTGTTAAGCACTGGGCACACTGTAAGTGATTTATCAAGACAGTCCTTTGGGCACATATACATAACCACAAATGTTAGCTGCTATTTGATACTACCATGATTATCATTGCCAGTATTGTTACTTCCATTTTAAGGTTAAGGAATTTGAGGCTTAAGAGAAGTGGGACTCCCCAGCCTGGCCACCACGTCTCGGGTGCACAGCTCCTCCATGCTTGCAGTTGCCTGTGAGGCCCTACTCTGGCTCACACCAGGGCCTGCTCTAAGTTGTGACTGGATATTGAGAGTTTGGGATGCCAGCCCAGAAGCAAGGCATGCTCTGAGAGCTCCACCCGGGGCTCCTGTGCTACAGGGCTGGCTCTTCTTCAGGGGGCTGTTTGGGGATAACTTGACAAGGATGTCTCTGTTTTCCCAGATCTCGTGGCTGTGCTGTGTCCCAAAGGGCCTCTGAGAATGCTGGTAGAAACTGCCCAGGAGAGAAACGAGCCCATATTCCCTGCCCTGATATACTCATGTGAGTGGTCCCTCCGTGCCTCTACCTGACTCAGGGTCAGCAGGCAGCCTATGGGGGGACAAGGGCCTGCTTCCTGGCCGTGGCTTTCAGAGTTGACTAGGAGATGCTCACCCTTTCCCTGAGCAAAGAGGAGGAGCTGGCCTTGGTGATCCCTGGAGGATCTCCACTTTCAGAAACCAGGGAGGGTAGTATCTTGATATTAACATAGTAAGAAGCTTAGAAAGGTAGGACAGGAAGCAGGCGTCTGCTAGGATGTGGCGCAGCCCCTGACTTCATCCCGTTCATCCTCCAGTGGCACAGTGGCATGCTGTGGTGCAGGTTGCATTCCTGTGAGCCCGCAGCCACACCTCAGCTCCCCAGGCTCTTGAGAAGGGACTTTGGAGAGGGATTCTTCAGGGCAGGGGGTCAGGAGCAAGGAGCTCCTGGGCTTCCTTGACAGCAGCGTGGCTGATTGGCATTAACCCTAACTGAAGGGAAGGCACACGGGATGGCCCCTGGCCTCGGGGTCAGTGTGTAGAGATTTGGACTTACACATGCAGTCAGCAAAAGCACATCAAGTCCCTACTTTGTGACAGGCACTGTGCTAGGCACTGAGGGACCCAGCAGGAAAGAAGACCACAGGGTCCCAGGCCTCATGGAGCTCACAGCCCTGGGATTGTGATGCCCTCGGTTTGTTAATGGCAGAGCTTAAATAGAGCCTGAATTTCTGGAGCTGTGGTTTCTGCAGGGTGGCCTGGGAAAGAGTTTATGGAACAGCTACAGAGTGCTAGGTATCTCCATGCAGCTGAGGAATCGAGCAGTAGAGGAGAATCACCCGCAGCGCGGCCCCACGGGAAAGCACATTCCAGGCACATTCCAAGGATGAGCAAAGACCATGTATGGAAAGTCTGTGCTAGGACTGTTGTGAGTGTCCCAGGGCTCTGGGAATTCACCCGTGAACAGTGAGGTCCTGGCTCTGATAGATCTGGTTCTTCTTACGCTCTAGGAGGGGAGACAAACAGTAACAGAATAGACAAATGCAGGAGTCAAGAGGGAGTGACTCCGGACCCCTCCCACAACGGCCTCCTAACAATGGAGCATGAACAGATACCTGCAGGATGGCGGGATGGAGGGTCCTGTGCAGGCTTTCTGGGACGCAGACTGGTCACCTCCCCCAGGCCCTGCAGGCAGCCACTGTTAGCACCGCCTGAGGCGTGAACCTTTTCCCCTCCCCCAGCCGCCATGGTGTGGACGGTCGGCATGGCGAAGCTGGACCCCTCATCTCAGGGTGCCCTCCAGCTCCCCTATGACCCGGAGATGGGTGAGTATCCAGGGGAGCTAACAGCCTCTCATCACTGGGGGGCAGCTCCCTACCTGCACCTAGCTCTGCCCGGCCTGGCCTCTCTGAGAGGCATGAGTTCAGGAGGAGCAGAGGGAAAGGTCCTTTGAAAACCAGCCGGACACATGGGGCTTGAAGATTCAGCGAGTGTTGGACCCTTGGTCCTCTGCCAACCTCTGTTGCTTCGTTCTGCTGGGCATGGGTGGGGCAGGGGAGGGGAAGCCCTGGCATCAGGCACTGGTGCTCAGGGGGACCCCTTCCTGGAGCTTTGTTCCCAGGGACCACTCTGACCAGCTCTTGTCTGTCTCCCTTGTTGTCCCCTCCTCATGGCAATGATGGTCATCTTCTCTTCCTGGACACCCAGAAGAAGACTCCTATGACAGTTTTGGGGAGCCTTCATACCCCGAAGTCTTTGAGCCTCCCCTGACTGGCTACCCAGGGGAGGAACTGGAGGAAGAGGAGGAAAGTAAGGTGCCCATGTTCACACGGCCTGCTTCAGCCCGGGGCAGGAGTGAAGACGGAGGGTGGAGGCTCCCTGCAGCCTGGGTGGAGGAGGGCGTGAGGGGAGGGGCCCCTTTTCCCATCGGAGGCATCTCTGTGGAAGTAGGAGACGCCTGCAGCACTGGGGTCTTCTCAGCAGACCCCATGTAGTTGTCTGGCGTGTATTGAGTGTGGACCATGTGCCCGTGCTGTGCTGGGTGAGGCCCAGCCCTAGTGGGACCTGCAGACTAAGGAGACGCGGGCAGTAATCATGCAGACTGCAGAAGCCAGGGACTGTGAAGCAGGCCATGGGGGCAGGATAGCATGCCATGGGGCTTCTTGACCTGGTTGGCAGGAATTAGAGAAAGTCACCTGAGGAAATAACTGCTGAGCTGAGCTCTGAAGGTTGAGTCACAGCAGTCCCTAGAGAAGAGGAGCACAGGGTGGGGAGCGTTTCCTGACAGGCAGACTCAGGAGTCAGAGGAAGCTGGAGCGGGATGCAGAGAGCAGAAGTGTGGGAGGGCCTTGCAGACAGGCCTGGAGACACACTGAGATAGGGGTTCATCCTGGCGTCAGTACACGGTGCCTGCCCAATACCCAGTGCCCGCCCAATACCCAGTGCCCGCCCACTGCAGCGTGCCAGGCGGCAGCCTGGAGCAGGGAGATGCTGCGGTGTCGTAACAGCCCCTGCCTTGAGAGGTGCCTTATGGGAGCAACCTGGTAACAGTGGCCTGGCATACAGGACTCCAGTGACGCGGGAGGGGCAAGCTAAGATTGCTCTGCGGTGGGTCTGGAAGGAGGAGCAGGTGCACACCCCCAGGCAGGCTTGTGGGAGATGTTTATTCCAAGGCCAAGTGGTGTGCTGCAGACCAGGAGTTAGCACAGATCCCACGTGGCCCACAGGACCGGCCTCCCTCCAAACACCAGCCACAAGCTCTGGAGGGTCTAGATGCCACTTGTGCTTCTGACTGGCTGCAAATTTAGGGCTGCATGATCCCCTTAGGTTCAATAACTTGCTAGAATGACTCACAGAACTCAGGAAAGCACTACACTTAAAATTGCAGTTTTTTTTTTTTTGTTTGTTTGGTTTTTGTTTGTTTGTTTTTGTCATTGTTGTCATTTTGTTTTGGAGACAGGTTCTCGCTCTGTCGCCCAGGCTGGAGTGCAGTAGCACGATCGTGGCTCACTGCAACTTTGACTTCCTGGGCTCAAGTGATCCTCTTACCTCAGCCTCCTGAGTAGCTGGGATTACAGGCACATGCTACCACACTTGGTTCATTTTGATATTTTTAATAGAGACAAGGTTTTGACTTGTTGCCCGGGCTGGTCTCGAACTCCTGGGCTCAAGCCATCCATATGCCTTGGCCTCCCAGAGTATTGGCATTATAGGTCTGAGCCACAGCACTCAGCCAAAATTAGTTCTATTATAAGAGATGCAACTCAGGACCAGCCAAATGAAGAAACACAGAGCATGTGAGAGGGCCCCCAGCACGTGTTTCCTGTGTCCTCTCTTCGGGGGCAGGACACGTTACTCCCGCTTGTTGTCCGGGGGGAGAGAAACAAGGCAGCACCATGGGCTGAGAGGGGGATGACTGTCAGGACTAGGCCAAGGACGGTGTGGAGGGGTCCACCGGGAAGGTGGTGTGGCTTACCACACTTACTCAGGAGAGCATCCATGTGGGAGGGGGTGGGGGCTGCAGGACATCTGGAGGGACATACCAGCAGGCACCAGAGCCGGGGAAGAGCTCAGGGTTTGACACGTTGGAGCCATCAGCATGTACATGTTGTCAAAATGAGGCCCGAGAAGAGTAGCCAGGGAGGGTGCAGGGTCAGGGTCGGTGACATTTACAGAGGAAGGGAAGGTGCATTGGAGGACCCTGAGGAGTAGCCAGAGGCAGATGGGTGCCGCAGGTGGTGTGAGGACTGCAGGTGTCCCCTGGGGACCAGAGAGCATTGGTCAGGACATGGGACCTGGTGCCTCTAGGTTTCCAAGGTGACTGGGAGATGAGTGCAGGGTTTTTTTTTCAGAGTCCTGATGGAAGAAGGAGTGATAAGGAAGGGGAGCCAGCACATGAAAGCAGGAGCAAGGGCCCAGGACAGGAAGAGCTGTCTTTCTAGGATGGGCAAGACTGGAACCTGTTTGTTAGGCTCTGAGAAGGAACCAGCTAAAGGGGAGGAGTTGGGATCCAAGAGGAAGTGATGCTGATGGATTGGACCTGGTGGGGGAAGGATGGACGCTGGGGCCAGGAGTGGGAGGGACACCTACAGGGCTGGAAGGGCAGGGGAGGTGGGTCTCCATGGTTTGTGTTTATTGCATAACCATTTTTATTGTCTACAGTGAGCAAAGTTATCCTATAAATAAGTGTCAGGGACCATTGCACTAAAGAAAACAAACCTGAGAGCATTTTGGAAGCTCTGATTTTCTGATCAGTAATGGGTAGACTAATTCCCAGTTATATTTACCTATTGTAAGGTGAAAGGGTCTTCAGAGGACCTCTGTCTTGGTGTTATATGTGCTTTTGAATGCACTGAAATTAAATTCCCTAAAAATTTGTAATTCAGACTTCATACTAAATTGTACAGCAGTGCACAGCCCCAGGCCATGCATTCCTATTTGTTCTTTACTCACTGAGTGCCCAACACCGGTTTTACCTGAGTTTCAGAACTGCCCGCTTTTCTCTGCCCAGGTTGTAAGTCACCCAGTTCACAGGTGTCCCCTGCTTTCCCACTGGCCACTGATTTGGGGAGGCAGCTGTCCTTGTCCCCAGTCCACATGGCAGCTTCTAGAGGCCAGGTGGGCTGGGCTGGGCAGACTGGCTGGGCCTTCTGGACCAGGGTTTCTCTTCTTTTTCCATTCCGTACACGCCTCCTCAGCACGGGTTCACTGTCTCTCCTCACACAGGGGGTGTGAAGCTTGGCCTCGGGGACTTCATCTTCTACAGTGTGCTGGTGGGCAAGGCAGCGGCCACGGGCAGCGGGGACTGGAATACCACGCTGGCCTGCTTCGTGGCCATCCTCATTGTGAGTAGCTGGGGATGTGTCTGACTGCCCCCTGGTGGTGGGGTCCCCAGAGTCCTCATTGTGGTGGGGGCGGGTCCCAGGATCCCTGGGGATTTTTCATTTCTTCTCTTCACTCTGAGGGACGAGACCAGGGAGCGGGGCTGGAAGGGTCAGCTTGAGACCGAGGCTCACAGGAGGTGTGCTCACCCCTAGGTGGGCTCCAGCCTGCGGAGGACAGTGCAGGGGAGGGTGAGGAGAGCACTGGCCCCAGCGTGGCTGAGCATACAGCCTCCGGGCCGGGGACCCAGCTGACAGCTTTGTGCAGTGATGATACCCTTGAGGTGATTGTGATGACATCAGATTTGCAGAAAAGAAAATTGCTTAAGGGCCTTGCCCGTGGGCACAAAGCTAGTGAGGACCGTGTTTTCCCCTCCTCTATGCCACTGAGACACCACAGGGTCTGAATCTGGGGCACTAGGGCTGGCCCTGTTACTGTGAATTGTGCAGGCCCCATAGTCAGTTAACCTGGCCAGATACACATAATGGGGAGATGTCCTGCCGTGACTTCATCTCAGAGATTTCCCTGTCACGTTAGAGGAGGTGGAGTGTCTGAGTTGTGCGCTTGGTGTCTGCCCCTTGGTGAAAACCCTGGGCATGGCATGGTTAAAGTTGATGCTCTAGTGTCCAGAAGATTTTGCTTTTGCCCACAAGTACATCAGGGATGGGATGATCGACCTAGGCTGCTCCACCACCAGACTGCCTGACCTGAGCCCTCCTGCCCCCAAGGATAGAGAAGGCACCCTGGTTCCCTGTACTCACCTGGACCACTGCCTGCATCAGCCAGGTCAGGGGAGGATGGGCAGCCCCCACACCTGCTTCCCAGGGGCAGGTTGGCTGGCAGCTCTGATTCCCTTGGTGCCAGCTGCTGAGAACCTTACTGCCATTTCAGTTGAGCCCACCTAGCTCTCATATAAATACATGTTCCCTGAGGGCATCTTACCATCCCATGTGACCACTCTAGCCAGACAGGGGAGGCAGCACGACCTGAGGGCACAGCACTGCTCCAGGAGTAGGGAGGCCTGCCTTCTGGTTCACTCACTAACAGGTGGGGTGATCCAATGGGGGTGAGAACTTCTGCCCTCAACACCTCAAGAGCTGTTGGAGGACCAGGAAAGATAATGGGGTGTCTAGCGCCGTTGTCCGACTGGTCCTCGAACAAGCTTCTGCGCCCAGGGACTAGACCATGACTCACAGCTCCCGTCCAAGCCAGGGATCACCACGCTCACCCTCCCCTCCGTGTCCTGCAGGGCTTGTGTCTGACCCTCCTGCTGCTTGCTGTCTTCAAGAAGGCGTTGCCCGCCCTCCCCATCTCCATCACGTTTGGGCTCATCTTTTACTTCTCCACGGACAACCTGGTGCGACCATTCATGGACACCCTCGCCTCCCATCAGCTCTACATCTGAGGGACGTGGTGCGCCACAGGCCTCAAGCTGCCTGGAATTTTCACTGGATGCGGTTGTATAGTTTTACACTCTAGTGCCATATATTTTTAAGACTTTTCTTTCCTTAAAAAAAATAAAGTGCGTATTTACTTGGTGAGGAGGAAGCAGAACCAGCTCTTTGGTGCCAGCTGTTTCATCACCAGACTTTGGATCCCTCTTTGGGGAGCGCCTCACTTCATGGACAGGAAGCACAGCGGGTTTATCCAGATGAACTGAGATCAGATCAGGGCGGGGAAAGCATCCGGCATGAGGGCCGAGATACATAAAGATGTGCCTCTGTTCGGGACCAGGACCGAGTGCTCGGGAGTGGCGCCTGGCACCTGGGTCCTCTGGCTGGAGAGGAAAAGCCAGTTCCCTACGAGGAGTGTTCCAATGCTTTGTCCGTGATGTCCTTGTTATTTTATTGCCTTTAGAAACCGAGTCCTGTTCTTGTTATGGCAGTCACACTGCTGGGAAGTGGCTTAATAGTAATATCAATAAATGGATGAGTCCTGTTGGAATCTTGGAGTTTGGTCCATTGTAAATATTGACCCCTCTCCCTGCATCTTGGGCTCCTTTGGGATAACCTGTGCTGTGAGCTCAGGAGGGAGGCAGTTTGCCCCATTCGAAGGAGCTTTTAATGACCTCACCTCTCTGCACACATTTCTTTAACTAGAAAGTTTCCTAAGCAGAGGCGTTAGGAGAGCGGGGAGGCCTGATATCTGCCAGCCCTGGGCTGTAAGGCTGCGGGTGCCAAGCAGGTCCCTGGACTCAGTTGTGCATGACAGCACGAACACTGCCAGGTGGTTGCCAAAACATCCAGTGGTTCCTTCAGCAAGTGTTCACCCTCTGTAGAAGCCTGTGAGGGCCTGAGCTCAGAAACCACTCTCCTTTCCTTCTCTGGCTGTGGCCCTGGGCGCTGTGGCAGGAGAGTGGACAGGTGGGCTTTGCCTTCTCCGTGCATCAATCATGGGTTGTAAAGAGAATCTCAGAAGTGCCTCTTCCTGAGCACAGTGGCTCACACCTGTAATCCCAATACTTCGGGGGGTCGAGGCGGAAGGATCACTTGAGCCTAGGAGTTTGATACCAGCCTGGGCAACATACCAAGACTTTGTACGAAACAAAATTTAAAAATTAGCCAATCATAGTGGCGTGCGCTTGTAGGCTCAGCTACTCTGGAGGCTGAGGTGGGAGGATCACTTAAGCCCAGGAGGCTGAGGCTGCAGTGAGCTGAGATCAAGCAGGTGTTACGTATATCAGACAGCTGAGAAGACACAAGTGTGCCTTGGGGTTCAAACTGGTAGCCCCGTCTCCCTGTTCCAGGAATAGCATGAGTGCCAGGGCAATGCGTCTTTATTATGAGAGGAATGAGAATTGTATATCTTGACATTTGACAGGAGCTTGCTTTCCCCCAGGCTGTTTGAGGAAGGGCAGAGGAAAATGTGGTGCCCTAAGAAGGGAGGACGGAGGAGGCCGAACACTGGCAGGTGGAATCCCACCGATTAGTAGTGCAGGTCAGAGACCCGGGATGGGGGGCATTGCCATCACGGAAGCCACAGCAGGGAGCAGGTAAAGCAGACAGGGATGGTCCCTGATGGTGACAGCTCCCAGGAGGTTATGGGGAAAGAAAAACTGAAAAGCCCATTCAATTTGGCAATTATGGCAGTGTTTATCTTCAGAAGAGCAGTTTTAGGGTGGGGTTTCCAAAGATGGGATTGGATGTTGTTTTGAATCATTAAGCTTGATGAGGTCTTTCAAAGGCCTGGCCAGGGGGTGCTGCTGGGTGGAGACCACATTGAGAGGTAAAGGCAGAAGTGGGAGGCCCTTAAGTAGACAGCGAGGGAGGAAGAAATGAAGGGGCCCAGTGATGGTTAGGGTGAAGTGTTAAGACTGAGAAAACAAGGACGTGTGAGAAGACGAGGGAAGAGCATTGGAGAGAGCAAAGACACCAGAGGAGATGCTACTTGGTGGTCCCTAGAGAGCTGGGAGACGAGGGAACCCAGAACACAAGCAACAAAGAAGAAAAATGAGATAATTTGTAAAAGATAGCATTCGAACATGTCAAACAAGAGCAGGGCACTGGTGTTCAAACACCTGTATCTCCCCCATGTAACCAGTCAACTAGTATCTTTCCATATTTGCTCCAGATTTGTCTTTAGAAATAAAATGCACATTCTGAAGTCCTGTTCATATGTGGCACCAGTCCTGTTGCCTGTGCCTCCTGTCCTGAAGTCCATTTCTGTTCTTCCCATCTATGGTTAGTTTTAGTTTTGTTTTGTATGTTGGCATGTTTTCTTAACTTTGCAGAAATGTTATATTGTACATATTTGATAATTTTTTTAAATATTGCATTCCGGAGGCATGTATAAATGTAGCTCCAATTCAGTTATTTTATTTATTTATTTATTTATTGAGTTGGAGTTTTGCTCTTGTCATCCAGGCTGGAGTGCAATGGCGTGATCTCGGCTCACTGCAATCTCCACCTCCTGGGTTCACATGATTCTCGTGTCTCAGTCTCCTGAGTAGCTGCGATTACAGGTGCCCACCACCATGCCTGGCTAATTTTGTATTTTTATTAGAGACGGGGTTTCACCATGTTAGCCATGCTGGTCTCAAACTCCTGACCACAGATGATCCACCTACCTTGGCCTCCCAAAGTGCTGGGATTACAGGCGTGAGCCACTCTGCCCAGCCCAGTTATTTTAACTATTGTATAGTGTTCCATTGTATGAGTTCTACTGTTTATATGCTATTGATGGACCTGTAGGGGTTTTTCAGTGTTTCTGTATTATAGCTGTGCTGCAGTGAGTATCCCATCACATTGTGTAGATTCGAGGAGGTATTGGAATTCCCCTAATTGACTGGACATTCCCAGTTGCCCTCTAAGCATGTGTCTGTTTATCCTCCCATCAGCAATCTGAGAGTTCCCTAACTCTGCAATACTTGGTGTCATCAGACTTTTCATCTTATCTGATTGAATGGGTGTCATTTCCTTTAGGTTTTATAAGTATCTTTTCATATGTGTATTGACTGTACAAGTTTCCTTCACTGTTTTTTATTTTATTTTATTATTTTTTGGGGGGGACAGAGTCTTGTTCTATTGCCCAGGCTGGGTGCAGTGGTGCGATCTTGGCTCACTGCAAGCTCCACTTCCCCGGTTCACACCGTTCTCCTGCCTCAGCCTCCCGAGTAGCTTAGCTGGGACTACAGGTGCCTGCTACCACGCCTGGCTAGTTTTTTTGTATTTTTAGTAGAGACAGGGTTTCACTGTGTTAGCCAGGAGGGTCTCGATCTCCTGACCTCATGAGCCGTCCACCTTAGCCTCCCAAGGTGCTGGGATTACAGGCGTGAGCCACCACACCCAGCCCAAGGTTCCTTCTGTTACTTGTTCATATCCTCTGCCCATTTTTCACTTGGAATTTGTTGTCTTAAAGGTATTTAAGCCTCTTAAAATATATATTCTGGAGAGATGCTAGTCTTTGATTAATTATATGCATTGCAAATATCTGGTACATTGTGGCTTGTCTCTCTTCCCTGCCTTTAGGAGTGTTTTGCTGGACCCAAGTAATTTTTAAATGTTAATGTTGTTAAATGTATCAGTGTTTTGCCTATATGGCTTATGCCATTGAATCTTGTTTTAAGAGATCCTTCCTTACCCTCAAAGTTTTCTGAATTTTTAATCTCATAATAAGATTTTTCATAAGTTCATCTGAAATGTATTTTTATGATTGTATTTAGTAGGGACCTAATTTTGTTTTTCTTTGTTTGTAACCAGTTGTCCCAGCACTGTTTACTCAACAGTCTCTCTTTTCTCGCTGGTCTGTAGAACTCTCCTAACATATACCAAGTTTCCATAACTGGGTGGATGGGTTACTGAGCTCTCTACTGTTAATAGAGCTGGCTCTCTCGCAGGCCAATGCCTCACCAGGTGACTGAAGCAGAGAAACTTAGGTGGTGAAAAGAGAAGATGGGGCCTCTCCTAAATAAATCTATTCCTGAGATTCTAGAGGCAGAGTGTATGTAGATCTGAAGCTACACCAGATCTCCTAAAATAGTATAAAGCTACAGAAGTATAATAGTGTGGAATGGTGGTGGGAGTCAATAAGGGTTAGGTCACTGCTGTGGTTTAAACAAGATGGGCTAGAATCCTCTCACAGGCACAGGCAGCTTGGAGAGGGTGCAATAGTGCATGGTATCAGGGGCCAGACGCCTCTTTTTCTTTCAAGGTCAGTAAGTGGCTTTCACCTCATGACCTAGGCTGACTGCTGGCTGTCAAGTCACACTCCATCTAACGTGAAAGGAGGTTAGAAAATGATGCATTTCCTCTTCTTAAAAACATGTCTCAAAGTTGCACACAGCACTTTTGCCTATATTCAGTTGGCCATTAGTCCCATGGCCATACCTGTCTGAGACTGAGAGACTGGGGAAATGTCTTTATTTCAAGTGACCATATATCCACCTAAACAAGATAAGGGATACGTGGTTATGGCGTGTCTTTTGGTTCACAACATAGATGATGAAGTTATCAAAAAAACGAGAAAATGGGGTCGTGAGGGATCATGTGAACCATAAGCTGATGTCTTCAAAGATGGTGGAAATGGGCCCTGAGAGGCAGCAGATGAGAGCAGTGGGGATTAAGGTAGACCTCCATCCTGGGGTTAAAATGAGGGGAGGGTGATGGAGCTGGACCAGCAGTCAGAGCGGTCAGTGGTTAGGAGACCCTGTGCCCCCCACGGCTGCCACCATCAGCTCTGTACAGAACGCCTGCGAGTAGCTTAGAGTGGCCAAGGATGAGGTGCAGATCCACGTGCACCTCCCTGCCCCCTCTGTGGACATTTTTCATGGCTGATAGCACAGTCTATGTGGATTGCAAGTCAATCAAACTATCCAAAGTAGAAGCATGCCTATAGTTTGTGATTCGGTGATGTGTTTTATGCTTATGTGAGTTGAATGGGGAGGCAGGGACCTGGGGTCACCCATTGATAAAGTAGGGACCTGTAATCACCACCTTTCTTTTAGCTACTTGGGAAAGGTGGTGTGAGGGACAGTGGATTTTGGGACAGCTTTGAACGGTGGTAGGGAGGAAGGGTCCAGTCTGAGTGAATGGCCAGAAAGTTGTGGGGAAGCTTTGAGGACATTGGACAAGAGCTCCCTGGAGGCAGCCAGGAGATACTTGTCAGTACGTCTGACTAATGGCCAGTTGGATATAAGCAGAAGTGCTGTGCTGCTGTGTGCAACATTGGACACCTTAGGAAGGACCTTGAGACAGTGCTTGTGGACTCTCTAGAGAGTAACAGTGACAGTAGCAAACCCTTACCCAGTGCCAACCTTGTGCTAGGCTCACACTAAACGAGTTTACCTTCAATTCTTGTAACAATAGGAGGTAACTACTATTCTAATTTCCATTTTACAGATGAGGAAACGAAGGCACAGAGATCACTGACTTGCCCAAAATCAAGCAGGGAGTAGTTGGTATACTAACCCATGGTATGTGGTTTGTAGAATAGGTGCTCTTGACTAG